GGGGTTTTCGGTAGGCTCGTGGGGGTAGATAGGCATTTTGTGGAGCTGGGTACTGGGAAAGTGATGTGCGACTTTGGGAGTTCTGTGGAGAGAAGTGGCATCGAGAAGGGTCATTTGGTGCACAAGGATATCCTCGGGGACGAATCGGTGGCAAGATGATCCTGTGACTGAGCCATTAGCGGGATGAAGGTAGGGTTGGCAAGGTAAGCTGGTGGTGGTTGCCCTTTTGCCCAGGCCTGGTACATTTTGGCCATCTGCTGCTTCAACTTATACATCTCTTCTTTCATCGTATTGACATCCAACTCTTCCCCCTCTCTCGAAGGATCGATGACACTCGCATCAAGTCCCTGGTTGGCCATGAGCACTTTGTTTTTGGAACGGGTGTTGTATGGGTGAGTTGCCAGAATGCCACACAAACTAACCACCTGCCTGTTACTTGACGACAACAACAAACTTGTTAGCGATCAGGGTTTAACAAATAGGCAACCACACATTTTGGGGAATTAATGCACCTAAACAGTTAACCGTTTCTATTATGCATTTGATCGGTTGCTTGCGTCATCCCGGCTTTTCCTTATTTTTATTTTGCAACTTCCTTTTCTTTTCTTCCCTCTCTTTTGCATTCTTGTTTTCTCTCTCATTTCCCTCTCTTATTGTTTCTTTCTCTCAATTTTCTTATTTTTCCCTCTTTTCTTTCCTCTCATGTTGTTTTTCCTCTCTTTTTCTTACTCTTTTTTTTTCAATTTCCTTATTTTCCCTTTTTCTTCTCCTTTCCTCTCATGTTGTTTTTCCTCTCGTTTCTCTCTCTTTTTCTTCTTTTTTTTTTCATTTTACGGTCGAATCCTATGGAGATTGCATACGTATCATGACCCCGCATGAATCAGACCAAGCGTAGTTCTTGAAAAATAAATGTAAAAGAGAAGCAAAATGTTTTGGGATTTTCAATTTTCATAAATAGCAAATACTTTGATTACAACGACTCAAAGCTGACCGATTAAAACAACTAACAGACTCTGACGAAAAGAAAAACTACAGACTCCAAAATCAACTGACAGACTCTAGCGGAAAGAAAATACAGACTCCAACAACTGACAGACTCTAGTGGAAAAAGAAATACAGCCTCCGACAACTGACAGACTCTAGTGGAAAAGAAATACAGACTCCAACAACTGACAGACTCTAGTGGAAAGAAAATGCAAACTC